GTGGAGCCATATTTCTGAAAGTGCCAAAGATCTGGTACGGCGCATGCTTATGCTGGACCCAGCTGAAAGAATAACTGTTTATGAGGCACTCAACCATCCTTGGCTGAAGGTATGCAGTACAAATGTTGTTAAAAGCCTCCAAATGGGATCCCTTGCCTAGATGTGTTCAAGCATGTTGATAATTTGTAGGCCTTGGTAGCTCACCCACAGATCCACTAATGATTTATAAAGTGATTTCTTCTTTATTGTACAGTCATTGACCAAAAAAGAAGAAATTAATAATAACAGAAAAGAACCCCATTAGAAACAAAGCATGCTAAATTTGGTTGTTGTAGATTTTTCAGACTGTTTGGCTGTGTTGTGAAGGTTTTGCTTCCTAACATTTCACCAGTGTCTGTGGCTGGCATCTCCAGAGGATTGGAGTTAGAACTCTGTCAGTGTTCTGGTGTAGTGTGTGGGACAGTTGAGTATTTGTAGCTGTGGGATCAGCTTTTTGTTCTTTTGAGGAGATTGGGTGATTATGGTGATCAGCGTGTTTTTGTTGTGGGTATATTGTTGTGATAAGGGGGAGAGATGATCTGTCACTGTGATTGATGGGTGTCATTAGCTAGACTCATCTCTCCCCCTTATCACAACAATACACCCATAACAAAAAACACCCTGATCACCATAATCACCCAATGTCCTCAAAAGAACAAAAAGCTGATCTCACAGCTATAAATACTCAACTATCCCGCACACTACACGACTACACAGAGTTCTAACTCCTGTCCTCTGAAGATGCTAACCACAGAGACTGGCAAAACATTAGGAAGAAAAACCTTCACAACACGGCCAAACAGCCCAAAAAAACTACAACAACCATCATATCCCAGCTGTGAAAGCCTTCGAGAGTACATGCTAAATTTGTTGTACTGATTTTGACTTTTTTTGTTTTTGCTTTTCATCATGCATGATTTCTCTGCTTATTTCTTTGTTTATTTCTTGGGAACCTTTTCCTCTTTGTTACCAAATAGATATAAAAATAGGGATTACTCTTTGTGCCCAAATGTTGAACCAATTTAATCTGGTGTGTTTTGGTAACTGAAATTTAATATCTGTGTTTGCTGTTCATTTTGGCTTTTTCCATTACTTCAGTATCTGATTCTTTCCTTGTGTTGTTTTGCTAATTGCATTCATTTAATCTAAAATTACAAAACAACAAATAACATCAAGGTAACACAGCATAAAAAAGTCGAACCAACAACAGCTGCCGAATAGGTCAGTGGTTTAGACATCTGGCTACAAAACCAGAGATTGGGGGTTCAAGTATCCACTGGGTGTCCTTAACAGGGGCTGGACTCGATGATCCACAGGGTCTCCTCCAGCCCTGCAGTTCTAAGATGATGATAACGATAATTAAAACAATTCAAACAAAAAAAGCCTAAATTAAATGTGAACATGATCAGCCAAAAGAAAAAGAATTCCCAGCTAAAGGTGATCTGTATCTCCAGTGTTCAGCTGTCTCTCAGGTCTCTCCCCTGAGAACAGGTCCTTAACTGGTGGTAACTCCTGGGAGAGCAGGCCATATGTTTCCAATGTTTTCTCACACATCTACACAATTGTCCCTAGTTAGTCCCTATAACTATCTATAAAATCCATATCTTCTGATAACACTTAATTTCAGAGGGCATTTGGGGACTCCCCAAGGTTCTGAAAATATGGCTGAGTCTGAGTAACTGAGGCTGATTTTTTTTCTGTCATAAACAGTGATGGCTGTTTTCATTTGTGTTATTGTTTTTGCTGCTGATTCAGAGCTGATTCAAGGCACTTTGATATAAATAGATGGAATCCAAGTATCTAAACAAAACTTTTCTAAAAATTGTCATTGCTCAGGTTTTGAATAACTCATAGCTTGCCGTTGAATACAATTAAGTGATACCGATTTGTTGTTTGCATTACTTTATTTGTAGGAACGTGATCGCTATGCATACAAGATTCACCTTCCGGAGACTGTGGAACAGCTAAGGAAATTCAATGCAAGAAGGAAATTGAAGGTATCTGGCCAGTTATCAGTGTTTAAATATTTTTACATGGGATCTTCAAAATAATATTCCAGTTAACAGTCTAGTAATTGATAAAAGTTGTTTGTTGAAAAAAAGCTTTCATGAAAAGTACTTAGCTACAGATTTTGAATTATTTTAGGCCAGAAAATGAGCAACAATAATTGCCACATCATATGAATAAAAAAAAATGAAGGGCAAGTTTTCATATGTAGTTCTTTCATCCTCAAACAGTGAAATAGACTTCTGACATTATAGCTGATCATCTGTGGAAGTTCTATTCCTCTTATCCCTAGAAATATCTATTGCTTTCCTTGCCACATAAAGGGAACAGATGTGATAATGATCAAGGCAGAGATTCTCTGCCTTATAGTTCTTCGCACACAAAGCTAGCATTATGACAGTTGGAATCTTCACAGATTCAGGATGGGGTTCCTCCATCACTGATGTCAGTGGGGTTGTGGCTATTTTGACCTTAGCCAAGAGTAGATCACAATGTGGAGGTATTATCTCCTCCTGCTGCTACCCTGAGTAAGGTAGATAACAGTTTCTAGGCCAGGAGCTAGGGTTATTCCTGTCATACTATCCTTCAGTTGTCTTAGTGATAGTTACACATTTTAAAGCAGTGTTAAGCTGTACTGAGGAAATATGAGAGTTTCACAAGTCAAATTGAAGACTTGTTGAAACCTTAAGAAGGAGAAGAGGAAGAAGAATGTATATTGAAACAGAACTTCAGCATCCTTCCAGAGCATATGCAGAGTATAAATCAATTAAGGAGACAGTAGATGACCATAGCATTCTCCACAGAGAAGCTAGTCTAAACTAAGCTTATTCCATTTGTCATTTTATACCCATCATCCTCCTTCCAGACTTTTTGAGTATATTCCACCAATCTGGCGCCCAGTCACCCCAAAACTTCTAGAAAGAAGAAACTTTTTTAAAAGTAACTTCACTCCATCCACTTCCCTTCTTTTCAGCTGAAACCAATTTCCACTAATTATTTTTGTACAAATGCAATACAAGCAGCTGTCAAGCTATCCCTTACTATCATCAGTTTGCAAAAATGTATTGATATGCTCTTGCCACATTACAGCTATTGTTTCATATTTTAGCATTTTTGTTGTGAAGCCTTGGTTTCTAATCCTTTGTAAACCACCCAGAATAATGCTTCGGCACTAATGGACCGGTATATAAATTAAAGAAATAAATAAAGTAGTAAATAAATAAGAGCTTCAGGCCAGAGAAGATCTCTAATACCAGGATGCAGTTCTCTGGCGTCAATATCTAATCAGTCAATACAGTGGGGTCTTGACTTGAGAACTTAATCCGTATTGGAAGGCGGTTCTCAAGTCAAAAAGTTCTCAGGTCAAATCTGCATTTCCCATAGGAATGCATTGAAAACCATTTGATCCGTATCTGCTCTTTTCCGTCCATAGAAACTAATGGGAAGCTGCTATTCCGCCTTCGACCACTAGAGGGGGATATTTTGTTTCTTTTTTTCTTAGGTCAAGAAAGGTTCAGGGAAGGCAGGGAAAATACAGTCCAGGCAGTACAGTACCAGGCAGTCCGAAGACTGTCTCCCAATCCACTCTCTAAACACTGGGAGGAGTGAGGAAGCAGACAGGCACCCTTTTCACTGGCCAACAGTTAACTGAAAGTTCACTTTTTGCACTTTCCCTACCTCCCATGTGGGTTTTTTTCAGTTCTTAACTCAAATCTAAGTACTTAAGTCAAGTCAGTATTTTCCTATGAGAGCGGTTCTTAAGTCAAAATGTTCTTAACTCAAGCCGTTCTTAAGTCAAGACCCCACTGTACTGCGATCTTCAACCAGAATCTGCTCAAAACTAAATAAAGAAGAATCATAAGGGGAAGTCTCCAAAAGAAAATTAGTAAAAATAGAGGGTATAGTGCAGGGGTCAGGGAACTTTTTTACCTTTTACCCCCAAAGAAATTTATATACCCCGACATTACCCCTTGATTCGAAAGGAAGGAATTAAAAATATTATTGAAACTACACAGGCTGTGTACCGAACTAGCAGGATGCACCAAATTTGATAAAGGTGTGCACTATTTTTGCTGGAACACATTGCACCCCAGCCATGGTGTGGTATAGGGCAGTGGTTCTTAACCTTTCTTACTCAGATGCTTTTGAACAGCAACTCCCAGAAACC